GACCTCCCGCGCGAACCGACCTCGTCTCCACTATAAAGCCGAGTCCCTCCTCTCAAATCCCTCCCACTTCAGTCTCCACCGCTGCAGTGCCATCGCCGCCTTGCTGTCGCCGTCCTTGCCTTCCTCCGCCCTCGCGTGTGCCGGGAAGCCGGCGTGCGCGCGGAGCCGAAGAGGGCTCCGGCCACCCTTCTTCTTCCCCTTCCCCGGCCCGACGACGGGGAACTCGCTTCCGCGCCGTTGGCTGCTCGTCACCGCGCCGTCTCGGCTCGGTAGTGCCTCCCTCCGTTCTCCCTTCTCGCTTGCCCTCTCCCTCCTTTAGCTCGCGCGGTAGCTCGGTAGTCCTCCCGAACGCGCGTAGACAAAGCCCCTAGCCTCGCCACCACCCGCCATAGGCTTGCCACCATCGCCGCTCGCTCCCGGAGGCCGCCGCTCGTCGCCAGATCTCCACGGCGTCGCTCTGCCCCATCCGACGCCGGAGATGAACTCCTTGAACCCCGGAGATACTCCCACCACCTTGAATTTAATCCTTGTCGCCCCTCCGCCGTTTCCCCTTTTTCTCGCCGCCAGCGTGCGTCGCCGCAATCCGCCGCCTCCGGCCTCTTTCCGGCGAATCCAAGCCGTCGGCTCGCTTCCTCTCGTCCCTTCCCTCCTCCCCGGTGAGCTCCCTTTTTCCACTGAGGTCGTGCCTTGCTCCGGTGAACTCGGCCGCCGTCCGCCGTTCATTCCCGGCCTCCCCTTCTTCCTCCTCCCGTTGGCCCGCGTGGCAGCCACGTCGGAGCCACGTCGGCTGCGACCGGGTCAGCCGCCTCCTCCCTTCCCCACCTTCGCGCGCACGGTCCATGGTGCGCCAACCGGCTGCATGTGGGCCCGCTGCCATCCGATCCACCCGGCGCACCGCCCGCACACCGCACCCACCAAACCCTAGCACCGCACCCGCGTGCGCTCTCCCCACCGTGAACCTTGCTGCCGACATGTGGGCCCCACATGGGACCCCGCGAGGTGCACCCGGTCCACCGGACCGCTCCCTCCCCTTCCGTGCGCCCTAATGGGCCGCCTTTCCCGCGACCGCGCCGGCCCAAATGGCTTGGCCGAGCCTCCTTCGACCCTTGGGCCGCGCCCTTGCCGCCCGAAAAAGTCTAATATACATCCCTCCATCCTTTTCTTTTTAGGGATTTAATAAATCCTCTTACCTTTGTCCCATAAATCAATTCCTTCTTCCAAAATTCCATAAACCATTTCCTTTGGTCCCACATGGCAGTGACTGTCAATAATATTCTTGAGAATATTATTTCTGTAAAATTCCATAAACCATTTCTCCTATTCCAGAAACTCCAATTAAACTTCCAAAATTCATATCACCCGATTCGCAACTCCGATTGACTCCGTTCAACTTCCAGTAATTCCGTAAAATTGAGATCTATTTAATGGCACTACTAATTAGTCTAAATAGGATCTTTCTTTTGGTCTTTTGCTTAGGTTTTCAGTTGTTTGCGTATAGTTGCGGTTACCGGATTTTCGTCGATCGCGGGTTTTCTTGAAGATTCGTGAAGCTTCGTGAAGACTTTGAGCAAGGCAAGTCACCCTTTGATCAATTGCCCCTATAATTGAAAAGTCATTATTATTTTGTTTGCAACTTGCATTATTAGAATCACACACTTAACTTGCTTGGCCTCGGTTTGCGTGCCAAACCGACGGACCTACCCAGTAGTCGCACTAATTTCCGTAGGTTGTACTACCCTGATTCCTTGTCGCTCCACCCTTGTGGTACCTCGGTATTCGTGCTCTCTGAGCGCGTATACCAAATATCCCACATACACCGTTGCTTGTCGAAAACTTGGGAAATGGGTTTGTGAAGCCTTCAAAACCTGACATGTGGTGTCGGTGTGTTTGAAAATAAAATGAATTGTGAAAACTCGCGATGCGGGGGTTGTGCCTATGTGGCACTGTCCCGTATTCGCATATAAGGACCGATTCCTGTGGGAAACTCATCGAACATAATCAAAGTGCAACCACAAGGTGGAATGGGACACCCTGGCTAAGTAGCTAGTCGGTTCAGGGAAACCTCGCATGCCAATAGTTGGGAACGCCGGGGCGGGGTCGGTTGGAGCCAAACCGGGTTCCTGGTAATGCAAGAACGAGAAGCTTGCTGAATTACCGATCGAGGTGGTTGGAGTTTGATTTGGTGAACGCCTAAAATGGCCTATGTTTATGTGAGGATTTGATCCTTCTATGTGGCATGAGGTATCCCTGGGTCGGCTTGGGAAAGGCTTTGTCGCGAACCTCTGACACCGGCCAGTGTCTGGAGTAAGTTCGTGTCTTGTGGGTAAAGTGTACCCCTCTGCAGAGGTTAACTAACTGTTCGAACAGCCGTGCCCACGGTCATGGGCGGATGTGAGGTGGTTCCCCTTGCGTAGATTTGTTTGCCTGCGCTTTGTGAAAAGTTGTTGTGGTGTGGGAATCGTAACCAGAATCAGCCTATGTGGCAGATGGATGACCTGAGTGGTCAGAAACGAATCTGTGTGATTCGGGATGTCTGCGGGCATCATAGACTAGGCTTCCCGAGTGGAAGCGGTTTGTTGTGCTGCTGGGCAGCTGGACTCTGGGAGTCCGAGAAAATGAAAAAGGCTCTGGGAGCCGATTAATCAAGTGAAATGGCTCTGGAAGCCGAGAAGTAATGATCTGACCCGGGAGGTCGGTACATTACTAATTGAGCTGTTGAAAAACATCTCTTAAAGTCGAATCGAGACGCAAGTCTCTTTTTGCCCCAAACTTAGAAAGAAATAAATCACTTAGTGATTTCAAAATGTCTTCAAATAAAAGATTTGCAAAACAACCTTGCCTCTCTTCCAAGCTTGCATTAAACACCTAAATTCCCGTGACTTGCTGAGTACGAAAGTACTCACCCTTGCTCTATATAAATATATATATATAGTTCCTCCGCCCGAAGAGAAGATAAAGTGAAGTGAAGATTAGGGTTTCGTCCTGGTTCCCAGCCGTCGCCTGTGGTGTTGGGCGTTAGTTCGTTGGTTCCGCTGCTGCTGCTGTTGTTGGTGTTTCCTCGTCCGTGTCGTCGGTTGCATTCTCGGGTTGTTCTGAGCTGCAACCTAAGTTAAGGTAAATAAGTCCTCTATCTATTTTAAGGATTTGCAATGATTCATATTTGTCACCGTGGGTACCAGCACTATGTCCTGGGACTGGTACCGAGATCGCGGTTTCGTAGGAAGCGGTTCACGCCGTTTTCCCTACGACACGCTCCTGTCAGGTGCCGTTGTACAGCGGTATCAAATTGGGGTGTGACAATGCTTGTCCGATTCCTTTGCTGTGTGCATATGCATGGCAAATTCTGACTCTAAATCAACTTTCTATTTGTCCAACCTCACTGGAATGGTGTTGAAAATGAAATCATTCCTTCTATTCCAAATGTGCTAGCAAACCATAGCCAGAACCTCAATGAAGAAACTGTGTTGAAAGCTGTTATGAGCTGTGATGATCATATTCATAAATTCCATTAAGAGATTCCACTGGATACCAACATGTTGCCAACATTGTTGTGCAATTTGACAGGAGAAAAAGAGATGCATCATATTCTTATCGTGTGAACGATTACACATTACACATCTGCTTCCACCTTGGATATTAAACTTTTTCTTTTGCAGCATTTCTCTTGTGTTGAATCTGTCCTTGAGCATTAACCAAAGGAAAACTTTGAGCTTTAGAGTGCACTTACTTTTCCACGAAAACGACTGTTGTTTATTCTCTTTTTTCCTTCCCATAATGATGTTAGATGACTACTTTTTTCTTAGAACATGCAAGTCTACTCTAATTTCCACCTTGCTTGTTGGTTTTTCCAGAACCGAGCTGTGTGGCGGTCTAAATCCACCGGCAAGCTGCTCGATGCATTGAATTGGCATTTTTTTTGATTCATTGACTATAGGTGCCGGTTCTTAACTAATAACCGGCACCCGATGCTGGCTAGAAAACCGACACATATAGCAAGTTTCTAACCAGCAACTATGATGTTTCTGCAGTAGTGTTACACACAAATACTAGTGTGGATCTAGTCATCTGTATTGGACGGGAACCTTCATATGTGTCGATAAGCGGCTTGGTCACGGATTATTGGTCAGTGATGTGAAAACTCATTTGTGTCAGGCCGGTAGCCGTCACCGATAAGTGGTTCAAAATATATCATTTTGGTGTTCCTAACACTAGCACACTCACGAGCAGTCACAGGGCACAAGTTACATGTATTTTTTTGCACTAATTATATGTGTGCAGCTTTTAAGAATCGAACCCCTACCTCGAACTTTACCCGATCCCACCTTACCATCCCACCTCACACTCTCACACAGTCACACTCATAGGTAATACCTATCAAACAACTTATTCTTTTGATCTTTTTGATAAGAAAACCACAGCAGGGGAAATCCCCACTGTTAATATTTTATTAATATATGAAAGAAAAAATAAATTACAACATCAAAATCAAAATCTAGTTCTTGACTATATCCTGATCTCTCTCATTTAACCCAAACAACAGTAACAGGAAGTCTCTCTTAAGAAGATGCTTCCAAGAAGAAAAGGAAAATTGTTTGTTCTGAAAAATAAACTCATTTGTCTGTTTCTAGATATTCTTTTGATCTTTTTGAAGCAAATATCAATTCCAACATAAATATGGGTTCATAAACAATCTCAAATAAAAAACAACAACAACTACAAAGTTGTAGACTCCTTGAGAGTAATAATTTCCATATGTTTGACGCCATCCAATAATTTCATATAAAAAAGTTGTGATTCTTCTTGAAATAGGATTATTTATTTTTTTCAAAGGCGCACGGTTCAATTTCGATTGGTCTTTCTCTTAAGGACCATTTGTGAAAATCGATTTTCGCACAAGATGTTATGCCACAAGAACCCTTGCCATTATCATAATCTGATTTCGTTTTGTTTTAAGGAACCACAAACTTATTTCGTTGTACCAGCCTGTAGAGATGACACCGTACGTGGCCAGTGGCCTGCCTAGAAAAAAACATTATTAAAGTAGTGGTAGCATTACACACTGGAATGATACATCATGTATAACATGCAACATGAAAGTTTATACACAAATAGGCCAGTCTGCCCGAAAAAACAATTGTACATAGGATACATATAAACCCTTTTCTCCCAGCACGTTATTTTTTCAATAAACTACTATATATATGCGCTGTCTTTGAGGATGCATTCCATTAGGACGGATGTTACGCACTGCTTGGAGCAATATGAGTAATAGGGCATATATTTAGGGTAATGAGTTTAGCTGCAACCATTCCAGACGTCTCATGCATATCAAGGTCCTTAGGCGCCATTCCATTGGGTAGCTTCCAGTCAAAATGATAAAGAAGACTAGCTAATGGTAGCTCCAAGTTGGCCACCCCAAGGTTTATACCTGGACAAATTCTACGACCAGAGCCAAATGGAAGAAATTCGAAGTTATTCCCTTTATAATCTACACTATTATTTTCGAATCTCTCTGGTTTATACTCCTCAGGATCCTCCCAGTACCTGGAGTCTCTACATATCGCCCACATATTTACGAACACAGATGTTCCCTTTGGTATATCGTAGCCCATGACTTGGCTTGTCTCACGGCATTTACGAGGGTTCAACAACGGCGCTGGGGGATGGAGTCGCAAAGTCTCCTTAATCACCATCTTAAGGTAGCTCAACCCAACAATATCATCCTCCGTGATGGTGGTCTTCCCAGCAACAGCTTGTCTTACCTCAGCTTGTGCCTTTGCCATTATTCTTGGATTCCGCATGAGTTCCGCCAAGGTCCAAATCAGCACTGTCGGCGATGTCTCACTGGCCCCTGAAATCATGTCCTAAAAATGGTATTTGCTTTTCTCGTCAGTTGTATGACTTCTATCATATAAACTTGCACAATATGTAACTAAATTTACAGAACGCATTGACTTAAACTTCAGTGCTAATTTGCATGAAAGTTAGCGGATCTCTGTAGTAATGTTTATTTTTTTTTCTGAATTTGTAGGGTTAAACAAAAATAAATTTATTTTGTTGATAATCTATATGATATATTGAACTGATATTTTTAGGTGTTGAAAAATTACTTACAAAAAAGTAAAATATAAATAAATTACTTTATGAATAGTCATCCATGTCCTAGAATATATATATACGCACACACATATACATTATTCAAGTTTAGAACTTAGAAGACCAACAAATAAGAGAAAAAACTCATGCAGCTAATAAATACTCGCTCCGTTCATATATATGTAGCAACCTAATGCTAAATTAGAAGTTGTCTAGATACTACTCCCTCTGTTTTATATTATAAATCAAATTTGTTTTATATTATAAATCATTTGATTTTTTCTTAGTCAAACTTATTTTAGTTTAAAAAAGTTTATAGAAAATATACTAATATTTTCAGTACAAGTTAAACATATTATCAAAATATATTCAATGTTAAATTTAATAAGACTAATCTTATATCGTAGATGTTGCTAATTTTTTCTACAAACTTGATCAAACCTAAAAAATTTTGACTAATAAAAAAGTCAAACTTATAATATGAAACGGAGAGAATACTACTCTCTATTTCATATTTTAAGTCATTTTGACTTTTTTTTTAATTAAACTTCTTTAGGTTTAACTAAGTTTATAAAAAAATTAGCAACATCTGCAACATGAAATTAGTTTCGTTCAAATTAACATTTCATATATTTTGTCAATTTTGGTAATACACTCATTTTGTGTCGAAAATATTGCTGTTTTTTTCGATAAACTTGGTAAAAAAATTAACTAACAAAAAAGTCAAATGATTTATGATATTAAATGAAGGTAGTAATATATATTACTATATTTTGGGATAGATGGGGGAGTAACACTGTGCTAGTTTGTACTCCCTCCGTCAAAAAAAAAGAGACAAACCCTGGGTTTCCGTGTTCAACGTTTGACCGTCCGTCTTATTTGAAAAAATTATGAAAAAATTAAAAAGATAAGTCACGTATAAAGTATTAATCATATTTTAATCATCTAACAACAATGAAAATATTAATTATAAAAAAATTGCGTATAAAACGAACAGTCAAATCTTAAACACGAAAACTGAGGGTTTGTCTTTTTTTGGACGGAGGGAGTATATAAAGAGGAAATAGGTATATAGTGTGAGTGTGATACTTACAAACAGAAGCACGACTATGATTTCGTCGGTAACTGGGACCGGCGTGCCACCTTCCTTCTGCAGCCGAAGCAGGACGTCGAGGAAGCAGTCTTTCCCCGCCGCAGCCTCGCCGGCGCCGGCGGCGCTGTCGTCCATCAGCTGGTCCTTCCGTTCTTGGATGATCCGTCTTATGACGAGCTCCATCCTCTTGCGGCTGGCGAGGCCCTTGCGTGGCGCCACCGCCACCATCCGCGCGAGCTTGGACGACGGGAACAGGTCGGCGACGCTGAGCCACGTGATCTGCTTCTTGGCGACCTCGAGCGCGTCCAGGAACTCGTCGCGGTGGCTGCACCGGCCGCCGACGGAGCTCACCATCACGATGTCGTTGGCGAGCTTGCTGATCCTCTCGTTGAGGTTCACGCCAGCGTCGCCGCCCGCGCCCGCGTCGGCGGCCAGCTCACGCACGAGCCGCGCCACCTCGCGCTCGCGGACGCCCTGGAACGACCTCACCCGGGCGGCGGTGAGCAGCTCCTGCATGCAGATCTTGCGGAGGTGGCGCCACCGCTCGCTGTACGGCCCGAATATGACGTCGCGGCCGCCGAAGAAGACCTCCTCGGTGGTGGCGGTGAGGTGGCGGTCGGCGAACCTGAGGTCCTGGTGCTTCAGGACCTCCTCCGCCACCGCCGGCGACGACACGACCACCGCGGGGACCTCGCCCATCCACAGCTGCATGATGGGGCCGTGCTTCTCCGACAGCGCGCGCAACGAGCGGTGGGTCTGGGGGCTCTTCGTCATCACGAGGTGGTGGAGGCTGCCGATCAGCGGCAGCGTCCATGGCCCCGGGGGAAGGTTGAGCCTTGGCTTCATGGCAGATGATACCAGCTTGGAGAGGACGACGACGAACAGCGCTGATAGGCACAGATCCAGTATCAGCTTGTCCTCCATCTTAATTGATCGTCGGCGTTGAGTTTGCTTATCGATGTTTAGCTATTTATAGTAATACTTCCACCATTTTAAATAATAAGACACCCTTTTTCTAAAAAAAATTAAACTTCATGACTTTTGACTAATGATCATGCTAACCACATTTATACTAAATATTATGTATGCTACTCCCTCCGTTTTGAAATGTTTGACGTCGCTGACTTTTTAGCACATGTTTGACCGTTCGTCTTATTAAAAAAAATAAGTAATCATTAATTCTTTTCCTATCATTTAATTCATTGTTAAATATATTTTCATGTAGGCATATAATTTTACATATTTCACAAAAGTTTTTGAATAAGACGAACGGTCAAACATATGCTAAAAAGTTAACGGTGTCAAACATTTCGAAACGGAGGGAGTATATTACTTGATTTATATTTTGATGTACTTTATGTGTGTCACACCCTAAAAATTCAAAATATATAAATTGTTGTTTAATTGGAATTTTTAGAAATGATTTTTAAAAGCTTAGAAGAGAAGTTTATTTTTAATTAATAAATTCCAATATAAAATGGGGCCAGATAAAATTTCATTAAATACTTTGCTTAATTCTATAATTCCTAGATTTTTCTGGGATTTATTTGAGCTAAGGAAGTATTTTTAATAAATGGAATTGCATTTCATAAATAATTTAAATTGAAAAAAGTTTTAAAAAGTCTCTTTTGGCTTTGGGCCGAAAGTCGGCCCAAAACCCTTCTCTCTCTCCTCGGCCCAGTCCGCCGCCGCGCGCGCGCGCGTCCGCCCGCTGACAGGTGGGCCCCACCTGTCAGGGTCGTCGTCAACCTCCGGCCGCTGCCGCCCGAAACCCTAGTTTCGCGCCGCCGCCGTTCCTTTCTAAATCCGGCCGCTCCTTTCCTTCTCCGGCCGAATCAATAGAGGGGAAACAATCTCCGGGATCTCCTCCGCCTTTTCTCCTTTGGAAACATCGGCTAAATCGGCTTGGAAAGTGTTGGATTCGAGGTCGAATCGGATCGGCTTTTCTCTCTCCGAGCCCGACCTTTCCTTCTCGTCGCCGGTCGCCGTGGGCCTTCGCCGTCGCCCTCCAACCCCTTTAAAAGGACCCCCGAGCTCTCCTCTACCCGCCGCCACCCTCGCCTTCGCCTCTCGTCGTCCGTAGCGCCATAGCGCTGTGAGACCTAGCGCTGCCGTCGCCGCCGTCGCTCTAGCCGTGCACCGCCGCCGTTCTAGTCGTCGCCGTCGCTCGGGGAGGTCGTCATCGTGGTCGCCAAGTCGCCGCCGTCCTCGTCTGCCCCTTCGCCGCCGCCGAAGATCGTCGGAGCACCGTCGCCGCCGTCGACCCGATCTCCGCCGCCGCTTTGACCTCGTCGCCGTCGCCGTCCGTTGGTCTTCCGCCGCTCCTTTGGTCACCGGTGAGTTCACCGCGTCGCGCTCTACCCGTTGGTGTCTTCCGTTCGTGCCGAAGCACCGCCGTTCGCCGGCGAGCGTGCGCTGTCCGAGCCGCCGAGCCGCCGCCGCCGGTGGTGACGTCATCGCCGATGTCATCGTCCCCGTCTCCCGTGAGCCGGTCGTGGACCGATCGATCTCGGCCGTCCGTTTTGGATCAAGTCGATCTCGGCCGTCCGTTTTCGTGAGCCGTCGCCCGTGTGCCCGGTCCACCGAAACCCTAGCCGCTGACGCAATAAACCCCTTTTTCCTTTTCAAAAATAATTCATTATTGCGTCATAATTCAATTAAAATCTATATAAGTGTTTTAATCCGAATTAATCTTCAAAAATTCATAACTAATTCATCTTAGCTCGGATTTAGTTGGTTCAAGTCTCTAAATTTTTCTAAAATTGAGATCTACATGTTAAAAACATCCACATGTACTGTTCATGCTTGTTTATGTGCTGTTTTGGTGATTTTGCTTCTTTCTGTTTAGATTCCGACGTTTTCGGAGAGTCCGTTTTCGCAGGAGAAGAATTTGAAGAGTTCCAAGGCCAGCAAGGCAAGTCACACAGATCCCAAACAACCCTTTGAGCATGTTGATCCCGTTTAAAACTATTGTTTCTATTCAACTATTGCATTTATTTTCGAATGTCATTGGGTGGAATTAACCTATTGTTTGCTATAGCCCTTTTGTTCTTGATTACTTTATTCCTTGATACCTTGGGTTATTATAATTTGACTAGTTGAGCTTTATTTATATTGGTTCAACTAGATATTAGATATAACTGCTTAGCCCTGCTTAGAAACATTAGCACATTATTGGGATAACTTATGACTCACTATTATTTAATGATGGCTTAATGATAGTTCACGATGGTCAATCGTGATTGGTTAATTAATTAATGTGCCAACTAAAACCTGATAATGGTGGGTTGTGAGCACATGGTTTTGATGGTCGTGCTCATGACAATTAAGGACCGGTTCACGAGTTTCGGTTGTGAAACATTAACCGTGCTAACCACAAGCCAGCGTGGGCAACGGCTTTATCTTTTGTATAGCATGGTTCATTGCGGGGCACCAAACTGAGAAGTGGCGGAGATAAGCCCACGGGGGTCGCTGGGGAGTCCATGCCTTGTTTATAAGGGGGTGATTATGATCCAGGAAAGGTGCGCTGTAATGGATTGTGTTGTGCAAGGGGTATTGTCACAACTCCTTTCCGAGGTACCGTGGTGGTATTGAGGCACATGGTGACATGATGTGGGGTTGTGTCTTGTGGGTACAGTGGTATACCTCTGATCAGAGTAAAACTATTCGAATAGCCGTGCCCGCGGTTATGGGCGGGTCTAACAATGTCTTTCGTGATTAGTCTCACCCTTCTCACCATAATAGAAGATGCTATAACTGGTAATAATTTGATTAGCTCCTGGTTTGGAATGGTATATTCCTGGTTTGGAGATAGAACTGTGCAGCCGGGATGGTTGTTCAGAATGGTTGGGCCTATAGAACAGGGTATGTTGTATAGCGTTGGATTAATATTTTTTAATTATTACTTAACTGTTTTATTAAATTCTGAAATGTTTATTAAATGCTGTTTATGCAAATGAAACCCTACTATGCCATCCTTTGTTATCCTGTGCACTTGCATATTTGCTGCGTGGCTTGCTGAGTATGTCATATACTCACCTTGCAATCATTCATCAGAGGAAGAGTTCTACAATGATGCTGATGGTGTGGAGGATTAGGTGTAGCCTTGGTCAAGCTGCCTGTGGAGTGGAGCCGTATGCGCCGTTTATCTTATTTTCCGCTGCTTAGATTTTTATTGATTGAGAGGAACTATCTATCTCTGTAATGACATTTTATTCGCTTATTAATTAGAGTAATAATTGTACTCTATTATCAATTTGTTATTGTGTGCCTCGGCTGATTCCTGGACGAGGGTTCACACACATGTAAGCGTTTGGAATTTTGGATAGAAATTCCGGGCGTGACAATGTGATACTGATTTTTTATTTGTTAGAAATATGATATGAAATAAATTAATTATTGAAGTATAATTTGGTAGAGAGGGAGTATATCTAAAGCTGGTGGTGGATGCCGCCGGCCAGCTGATTCGCTATTAGATGACTCTACCGTATACTGACACGTGTTCCGACACGTGTTGTAGCGTGGAGCGGGAGTGAATAGGAAAATCTAGAAGAAGAAGAAAAAACACTGTACGCTGCCTCCTTGAAAAAAATGAAAGAAATATCCCACCACATGGCGCTGTCATGAGTTATTAACATGGCACTCGCACCCAACCAACCATTTCAAGAGAAAGAAAATGCAACAAAAATATTTTCTAGACTCCTGTACGGTACATGAAGAAAAGAGACAGAGAGATAGAGAGTGAGTACGAAAGATTAGGCCAGAGATCCTTGCACTGGCAGCCTGAGCTATAACTGCAGCCAGTGGCCGAGTGAGGATTATTTTCGAGTCATTTGGTCAGACCTGCACTATATACTTCTTTCGTTGTAAATTACTTGTCTTTTAAAATTGTTTGACATATTCTATAATTTGAAATAAAAAACTATAATATCCTTACAAAGTAATTTATGGATGAGAAAAGATGGGTCTGTGTGAAGGGGTAGAATTGGAAGAAATTTAAATAAGATGTGATCATTGGTGGAGAAATCATTTTTACTTCTGGTTAGTAACCCCTTTAGACTCCGGTTTCCAACCGGGACTTGAAATCCAGGACTAAAGATGCCTATCTTTAGTCCCGGTTAGTGTTACTTATTGGGATTAAAGAGAGGGTAGCGGTCCCAGTTGGTCCTTTTTCTTTTTTTTTCATTGTTTCTTTGGCCAGAGTTAATCCCTGAATTTTCTCCCGAATCAAGTGCCATGCATATCCCCAAATCAAACCCCAAATCCCCAAATCCCCAATTCAAAGTAACATCCCAAATCATTCACATCACAAATCTTAAGTTACTTATACACACAAATCAAATACATCACAAATCTTAAAAAAATACACACAATTCAAATACATCTCAGATCCATGCAATGAATTACAAAATTATACATCTCAGTGAATCACAAATTATCAAAAAAAAGGAGAAAGAACTCCAGCCGGCAGAGGAGAGGGCGCCCGGCTACCGCTGCCGCCACTCGCCACTCATCCCGTGCCTGCTACCGCCTGCCACGGCCGCCGCCGCCGCGGCCCCGCAGGCCGCCGGCCGCCGGATGGGAAGGGAGGAGGGGGAGGAGAGGGGAGGGGAGGATAGGATGAAGGGGAGGAGGGGGAGGAGGAGAGGGATCTGTGAAGAGGATAAGCGCGAGGGATTATATACTACGCATTGAATTTTAGTCCCGGTTGGTAATACCAACCGGTATTAAAGTGGTGATCTTTAGTCCCGGTTGGTGTCACCAACCGGAACTAAAGATCGTCGGCCCCCCTGACAGGCCACTGATAGGGGATGAACCGGGACTAAAGATCATAGAATGGCTGTGGGGTTTTCAACCGGGACTAAAGATCATTTTCAGACTCGGTTCTTTTTGGAACCAGAACTATTGTGGTTTTGGGCCGACCCAGCAAAGATCATTTCTCCATTAGTGAATTGATGGGATAAGTAGTACTTGGTAG